CCCTTCTCCTGGGGACTGGGACTGAGGCTGGGGCTCCAGGGGACAGAGAAGGCACAGCTGCCCTACCCCTCAGATACCAGGGCAGAACCAGGCCCTGGCCCCCAGATTCCAGGCCAGCGCTCCTCCCTCCTGCTAGTCTGAGTGATGATGGGGTCCGGAGTCTGGTGCCCATCCACATGCACTGGGGCTTTCGGGGCACCCCCGGGGCACCCCACCCCGCCCCCACCCGTGCTTCCTGCACCACCTTGGACCTGTCCCTGGGTGCCAAGAAGGGACTCAGAGGCCCAACTCACAAATGTCCAAAGGTCATGCAGAACACAAAGGACCCCCATGAACCCAGGACCCCTGGTTTCCAGTCCTTTCCTCCTCCTGCCCTGGAGCAAGCCCACTCCCTGTCCACACCTCAGTGTCCCCAAATGATACCATGAAAGGGGTGACCTGGATGAATGCTCCTCCTTGCCACTTCTAATAGCCTAGATCAGGGTTCCCCAACTTTTTCTGTAAAGGGCCAGATAAGTCAAAAGTTTAGACTTTACACCCAGTCTACTGCAGTAGTCCCGCTCTGCCCTTCCATGTGGACATCCCACCACACTTCATTTCTGCACACTGACACTTGAGTTTTATTTAATTTTCATGCGTAACAAAATACTATTCTTATTTTTATTTGTTCTGACCCTTTAAGAATGTAAAAGCCATTGGCAGTTTACTGGCCATAGAAAACCAGGGCTGATGGTTTCCTAGTCTACTTTCAATTCTCATGGCACAAACATACACACTTGCATGTCAAAAGCATTGCATATATATATGTGTATATATATATAAATATATATGTATATATATATATAAATACATACATATATATATGTATGTGTATTTTAGTTTTTCCTCACAAAAGCACCCATTAGTTTTACAGCACTGGGGCCTTGGACACATAAATTATGTAGTTCATTCCTTATGACCATATTTGATGTCTCAACGATTTAAAATCTTCTTGATGCTAATATTCTATTATACCTGAATGGGGTACAGCTCATTTAATAGATGGACTCTCTTGGGGATCCCTGGGTGGCTCAGCGATTTAGTTCCTGCCTTCAGTCCAGGGCGTGATCCTGGAGTCCTGGGATCGAGTCCCGCATCAGGCTCCCTGCATGGAGCCTGCTTCTCCCTCTGCCTGTGTCTCTGCCTCTCTCTCTGTGTCTCTCATAAATAAATAAAATCTTAAAAAAAATAATCGATGGGCTTTCACAATAGTCCTTAGGGATTGTTCGCCCCACTTCCCAGTGCCTTGCATACTCCTGGTAACAGGGAGCTCACTCTCATCAGTGGTAGCCCTAAGAATCTCTAAGGGCTGAATCCTCTGGAGATCCCTAGCTACCAAAAGCCCAGTGACCTGCCTGATAGCCCTGGAGGGACAGAGACCACTGTGGATATAAGTGCCCCCTCCAGGGCCCATCCTTTTCCATCTCTGCTCAGTTCTATCTAAATCCTCTCCAGCTGCTGAAATGTGGATGGACAAGGCAGCAGTGGGGGTGAGGGGGTGGGGGTACAGCCTTGATTTTCTGGAAGTTTCCCAAGCCCTGAGCCTTTGCAGGCTTTTGCAGTTGCCAAGTGACAAATCTTGCAAGGAATAGGCGAGGGGAAAGGATATGACAGAGAAATAGCTATTACAAATGTGTTACTTGCTAGAAATATTTCCAGGAAATCTTGCTCATGATGAGGCCTCCCCTCGACAGCCCCTGCTTGTGTATCTTCAATGGGTCTTGCGCCCTCTGCTGGTGGGATTGAGTTCTAGCCAGGCCCCAGAACCTCCATCCCTCATGAAAATGAAAAACAAGCCAGAATTTTCTCTCCCTTTGTATACCAGATGCTGACTGGATACTAAAGAGACAAAAGAAAAGGCATGTTGCCTGTCCTCCGGGAGCTCAGTTTAGCGATTTCGCTGTGGAGAGCTGTCGATGATGTGCTCATGGCTGATGGCAGGGACGGAGCTGTGGACGCAGGTGGGGACAGGTGGGGACAGGTGTACAGCTTCCCAGACCAGGTGACATGGCACCACACGGAGCCAGGGGCGAGGAACTTGCGGACACAGTTGTGAGCTCACAGCTCATATGGGGGTGTTAACGCTCCAATCAGTGGACTGGCGGTGCATGTCGGTGTTTAAATGTTTGGATATTTTTAGTGCCTGCTACAGCGGGCCCTTGGAGACCGCCCAGCTGGAGCCCCATGCCCCACGCGCCCTCCTGAGGGCCTTGAATGTTTTCTGGCCCCTGATGCTGAGAGAGGGCATCTCTGCACCCAGTTATCGGCTCCAGCGTGCACTCCCTAACTGGCATCGCTCTGGGAACTGAGCACCAGCCCCCCAAATTATGTCACTTAATTCCGCTTCTGGGCAAGGGCACTTTTACCCTGAATTCACAGGTCAGGAAGCAGGCACAGAGAGGCAGGGCCGAAGTTTGAACCGCTCTCCCCGTAGATCCACCACGGCCTTTTTTGGGCTCCTCCACCTACTGACTCAGCCCCAACTTTCTCTCCAGCCCTGATTGCCACCGAGCTTCAGACTAGTAGCCCTCACAGCCAAAGGCCCACCGCTGTACCATGCGCACAGTGTCTAAATCTGGACTCATCATCCCCTGCACCCCCCCTCCACAGGCTGCTGTTCCTGCTCCCACAGGAGGGCCGGGGGTGGGCGGGGGCTGGAGATCCACTGAACAGTCCTCGCTGCAAACATACCTCGCTGCCTGCTGGCTGGAGGCAGCCCTGGGAGGCCCACTCCGGCCAGAAAGCACACAGAAGGCAGGGTGGCCCCATCAGGGGGCAAGGCAAGCAGGGTACTGGCCCCTTCCACAGGCTGGCCCCTTACTGGCCCCGACTGGGGCCCATCCTGACTGTCTGAGAGAGCAGATGTTCGTCAAGGACAGAGGATGACCACACATGGTGGCTTCGAGTACCCCAGGAGCAGTCAGGGGAGAAGGCAGCCAGGTAGGTGTCAGGGCGGGGTGGGCAGGCTGAGGAGACCAAGGGAGGAGGCCAAGGAGCAGTGTGTGCTGGGGCTGGAAAGCTCTCTGGAGCCTAGCTCAGAGGGGTGTCCAAGCCCTCCTGGGAGGTCTGTTTAGTCCCCTTGCTTTGAAACTGAAAGGCTTGTTCTAGAAACACAGAGGTTCCCAAATGGTTTGACATTCAGTGCTGCATATGGCAGCATCCTCGGCCAGGGAGTTGTAGACCTTTCTGGTGCCCAGGGACAGCTGTTGGAGGCCCGCGGAAGGTCTGGAGATTTCTGAGGTAAACACAGAACCAGACGGCCTCGTACAGACTATGTAGTTCTCGGGAGTATTGTTGACTGTGCTCTGAAGGGCACTTCAGTGCACAACCCGCACAACTGTCCAGCAGTCCTGCCAGGTACTCATTGCCTTCATTTGCTCTCATGGAGCAAAATGGGGTGGATGAGACTATTGTCGTTCAGCTTATCCTTGTCTCCAGGCGCCTTTCCCTGATGAGGAGCCACGTGTTGGAGCGAGGGGGAAGCACATCCTTTCCACACACATCACATAATGGACCTACTTAGTCCAGAGATCCAGTTTTAAAATGCTTTGCTGTTTTGTGTTTCTATTACAGAGGAGAATAAAATTTATGTGTTGAAGTTCTGAGCAGGGAGGGATGGACGCAAGGCCGGTTGAGTTCCATGAGTGCCCCCTGGTGACGTGCCCTGGGTGACCCCGAATGTGGGCCCACCTGTGGTTTGATGGGCTTGTTACCTCACCTGCAGAAGGGACGTGCTGATGTAATGAGGGTCCCTAACCTGTTGTGTTGAATAGACAGAGAGGGAGATGAGCCCGGATCTAACCTAATGGGGGGATAGGGCCTCCCTGAGTCAGAGCTGTTCTGCAGGCCTGGAGGTCGGATGCATGTGCTGAGGGGCCCATGACGAGCCATGGGGCCAGGACCCAGGGCGGACTCTGGGAGCGGAGGGTGAGGACGTAGCTTCTGCTGACATCCTGGGAGAGCTCCGAGGCAGCCCTGTGGTCAGTGAGCCTGCAGCTGGGCCGTCTTGGAACCCTGGCGGAGGACCCCCCCGCCCGCCTCCGCCACTGGGCGTGCTGGAGCCACAGACACACTGAGCTGACAGGGTGTCCAGTGCTGGGCCCCTGTGCTTGTGGAAGCTTGTTAGGCAGCAGTAGAAACAGATTCAGGGAGAAGCCCTGTGCTGTCAGACCTGACGTCTGCCCCGGGAGGCAGAATACAAGACGATAGGATGGTCTGGGGACCCAGAGGTAGAACTGGGGGTCTGCCCTGCTGAGGGCCCACCATGCTCCTGGTCCCCACTCACCTGCTGACCCCTGAGGAGGCCCCTTTGGCAGCAAGCTGGCCGCGTGGGCAGGCCCTCTGGCGGAGGACAGGGGGTGTCACTGTGGTCACCTGATGTCCTGGTATCCAGATGCCATCTCGCTGTGATTAAGTCCCAGGAGGCCCTGCCTGTGTCTGTAGCTGCAGAGAGGCCCAGTGGTGGACATGGCTCCTCTGTCACCCACAACTACTTGACTTTGTGGGGCTCTGGGGGGCAACACAAAGTAGCAGGTGGAATTTAGGTCTGTTCTTTGACCTGGGTCTGTTGTGGGGGGCCAGCCGTCTCAGCCCCCATACTCACTCCCCTGCAAAGGCACTGCCCACAGGAGGCCTCTCCTCCCTCGCCTTGACAGACTTCCCTGTGCCCTTGCTTCCCTTGTCCCTCCAACAGACGCTTCTCCCTGCAGGAGGACGTGATGGGCACAGCAGCCTTGGCAGCCTTGCCTTCGCAGTGAGGTGAACACATGAGGAGTCGAGGAAGGTTCTGACTACCCCATGGCTGTGCCGTGTGGACACCGTGGGAGGAGCCCCTGCCTTCTGGCAGAGGTTTGCCCAACTCCGTTGTAGCTGAACACAGCCCAGTGGCAGCCACCCTGCAGTGTGTACGGACAGGCTCTGGAGCTACGTGCCAAGGACACGTGTCCAGCAGTCAGGGCCCAAGGCCACGTCCACTAGCACCCCCGAGGCAGAGCAGGGAGCCAGGCCTTAGGCGGCAGCCAGTCTCTCCCCACCTGGAGGGGCTGGGTGAGCGCAGGTGGTGGAGGTGTCAGAGGCCGGCCCACACCCTGCAGGAGCCCCCGCAGCAGCTGCAGCAGCTGGGAAGGAGGTGCGAAGCCAGAGCGCCCCAGGCACCTGGGGGAGAGACTGGCAAGGAGACTGCGGTGGTTCTTCTGGAAAGCTCCAGTGCTGGGAGCCGGGTGAGTGTCTTGGGGTTTGGGGTCTGTCTCCCTCCACCACCACCCTGAGGCCTGGTGGAGGCTGTGATCCAGATAAGCACTGCTGTGGACAGTCCCTCCTGAAGCCACCTATGGACAGTCCCTCCTGACAGCCATGTTGCTGAGGGTGGGAGGTCAAGGGATGGGGGTGCCAGCTTCCCAGTGAAATCACCGGGCTGGGGGGCCTCGGGTCCAGCTGTGTCCCGGCCCCCAGACACCACTCACCCCTCCCCAGGCTTGGGCCAGGCCCTCCTTGGGGCCCTTCACCTGCTTGGCTCCCCCTCCTAGAGGGGGCCCGAGCTCCCCCCTCCCTGTCCCCCGATCCTCAGGTCCCCTCTAGCTCCTATGTGCACTGCCTGTGCCTCTGACATGGGGTGGGTCATGTTCACATGGTCGCCATGCCCCAGGTGGAGGGTACAGGGTTGAGGGTGTGGCTGCCTTCTTGCATGGCCCACCACGGGAGCCAAATGAACAAAGCTCCCCACACACATACCCATATGAGTACCTACGGAAGCCTCACCACTGGGGCGACTCCATGTCTCCTGCTCGGGGCTCCTGCCTTCCCTGGACCCTGGGTCATGGACCCCACCCCGCAGCCCTGCTTCTGCTCTTCCTTCCTGCTCCCCTCAATTCCCACCCTCTGCCTCTCTCTGGATCCTACTCTCCAGTCACTGGTACTGCTCCTGCACTTCCCAATGGGGAAACTGAGGCCTGGGCAGGGCCCCACTCTGAGCCATGTAGGTGGCAGCAGAACCAGGAGGACCTCAGTCAAGACACTGCAGGGGAGGCTGTGGTATGTGCCAGCCTCCCTGCGAGTCCCTCTCAGGAGGCTCCTGTGGGACCACTGGCCACGAGGGGCTCTGGGGACTTCCCAGTGGCTGGCATGGTTTGGCCTGGGGGTGACTGTGGTCATTCCCTTGGGCAATCCCAGCACACCTAGAAGGGGTAGGCCAGGCATTTGGGCAGCAGGGGCTCTGAGTCTGGTCCCTCCTCTCCACGGAGGGTGCAGCTGGGGGCGCGCTTTCCCAGGGCCCTCCTCGTCCGATGAAAACAGACTGTGCCATGTTTCCAGGACGGATCACTGCACCCCAATAGCCCTGGCCCCCCTCGTTGGCCTGGGACTGCGGACAAGCCGCAGGATTCACTGAGCCTCAACTTTACTGTCTGTATGGTGGGGATGGTAACAGCCCCACGTTCAGGGATTACTGAACCTGAAATGAGGTGCTACTTGCAAGGTGCTTCACAAAAGATCAGCCTCAGAGGAAGTGCTCACCAACTGGAACAAGTAGACACTTTCTGGTGCTCTGACAATCCTCGCTGGTGGTCACTGTGGGCGCGGGCATCGAGCTGCATGCGTAAGTCCCATGGATTGGGTAGCTTTGTCTTCATCCTTCTGGCAAGGACGGTGGCCTGGAGGCATTCCCCACACCAAGCAGGACAGCCACGGTCCAACTCCTGTTCCAGAAGACCTGCAGGTGCCTGGCTGAGGAGGGGGAGCTAAGTGGCCCAGCAGCGGAGATGGACCGGGCTGGAGGGAGAGATGAAGTTCCCAGAGCCCCTGTGGTGGGTGGCAGGGGAGTGTGGTGGGAGTGGGCAGGCAGGCCTGGTGCTGGATATGTGTGTTTGAGAGCGGCTCAGAGGCTTGAGGGCAAAGACCTGCTGCAGGCGGTTCTAGGCACAAAGGTGGCGTGGCCTGGTGCCCTGCGGCCCCATCCGTGTGGACCCTGTCCCTGCAGACGGCTGAGTGCTCGCCGCCTGGAACTGCTGGCTGGCTGCTGTCACATGCCCGTCCCCTCTCTTGTCCAGGCCTGGCTTTGGGTTTCAAGTCTTGGGGTGAAGCCAGGTGCGTTCCCAGGACAGATGGGGACAGAGGAGATATGAGCATCCAGACTGGACTGTCCCTGTCCCTCTGGAGCCCCAGCTTCCTACCCCAGGACTGTGGGCCTCGCCTATGTTGGGAGGACCTGGGACCCCACAGACAGGGTGGTGGTGGGGCTGTGAGGACGGGGGAACCCTGGGAAGTGCCCCCAGGGCTCTGAGCTCAGCCTGCCAGGGCCTAGTGCAGGGTGGAGCGCTGACCGCGTGGCCCCACCGCCCTCTGCTGGGCTCTAGGGGAACTACAGGGCCTCTCCAGCCCAGGCTGCCTCCTTGGAACCTTCCTGCAGTCCTGGTTGCGTGTCTCCTGTCTTCTCTCAGCCACAAGCCTCTCAGGCCTCTGAGAGCGAGACTCTCGGCCCCACCACCACCCCAGCAGAGAGCCTCATGTGTCCAGGGGCGTGGGGGACGTTCTGACATTTAACAACGCCCATGAGGAGGGTTCTGGAACAGGGGCAGCTCAGAACAGCAGCGTGTCTCATCCTGCGGTGCTGGAGGCTGGAGGGGTGAGACCAGGGTGTCCACAGGCTCCCCTGTGATGCCAGGGCCTTCTTCCCCTGTGTCTGTCTCCAGATCTCCCTCCTCAAGAGGCCTCCAGGGCTCACCCTGACCCAGCCTGATCTCATCTCAACTACTTACACCTGCAAAAATACCTGTTTCCCAAGAGAGTGACCCTCAGGGGTCGCGGGGAGTTAGGACTTTGGTAGGTCTTTCTGGGGGAACACAAGTCACCAGGACCGCCCAGGGAGCATCTTTGTACAAGTTAGAGATGCTGCCTCTCGCAGGTCGACATGGCCACAGCAGCAGACCACAGGCTGGCACTGAGCCTCTCACTTGCCCTCGAGGCAGTGCCCTTGTGCAGTGGATAGCCCGCACAGCTGTGAGCAGCCCTGTCCCGGAACCTCTCGTGTATAACACCCACCCAGGTGGAACGTCCAGACTGGAATTTCAATTTCAAGCTGGGCCAGAAGGAGCTTTGGAGCCAAGGGTGGAGGCCAAGGCCAGGTCTGCAGCCGGTGAGACCATACAAGGTGCATTGTCGGCAGAGAAGTGAAGAACAATCACAAAGCTGAGCACGAATTGATCTGCTTTTTATTATCACCGTGTGCCATCTGTGCTAATGTAGCCCAAATCTTCCGTTGGTTTTAGTTCCAGACAACCGAGACGGAGATTTCAGACCAGCACATGCTCCCTCTCTGCCTTTCCATGACTGCCACGGCCTGGTGAGAGTTGTTCTGAGAACTGGGACGTCCGTATCCATCATGAGGGCAGGAGGCCTCGGGACCGTTGGCGGCTGTGGCACCGCCGGATTGCACATCCTGGACACCCAGGGTAGCCCACGTCCCTCCGGAAGCACAGCGACCACCAGGACAAAGGCAGACCTCAAGCTCCATCGAGTGGCCATCGTGTGAGACCGCTGGGAGTTTCTATTTGTGTTTAAACCTCCCGACAGTGAGGCAGACCCTTCTGTGCCCTGAACATGGAGGTCACTACTAAACTGTGGTCAAATGGCAAAGAACAGGGGCACCTGGGGGGCTCCATTGGTGAAGCGTCTGCCTTCGGCTCAGGTCATGACCTCAGGGTCTTGGGATCTAGTTCTGCATGGACCCCGGGATCACGCCCTGAGCCAAAGGCAGATGCTCAACCACTGAGCCACCCAGGCGTCTTGGTTCTTCCCCTTTGAAAAAAATACATTTGAGGGAGTTAGAGGTATTAATCCGTCAGTTTCTTCCTATTGTGTATATGTCTGTTTTTCACTGGCATGTAGGTCAGGAAAAGTTGACTGTCTGAGCTCTTTTAGGGCCGTGATAGTGGTTATGATTCATGTCATTTCGTGATTATAACCGAAACCAGCTTTGTGGCATAGTGGGGGGCGGTGCTAAATAACGAGCCCCTCGGGCATGCTGGGAGCGTTGCTGGGCCCAGTCCACACCGTTAACTGGAATCATCTCCACCAGCTTGGGGCCCAAGCCCGGCTCTGCCCAGAGCCCTCCACCCTCTGACCCGTCTGTACACCTGCAGCTCAGTGTCTGCAAGGTGGACACAGGTGCACCGCTGGCCCTGACGCTGAATACAGGCTGATTCCGCGTTTGGTTCTCAGGACCCAGACAAGTTTCAGGAAGCTTTGCCCCCAACGATGAAAGCTGCCCCGCTCGGGTAAGCTTATAAGCACCCCCGTGGTGCTGACTTGTGGTCAGTGGGGAGCCAGCGGAAGTGGACACAGGGTGGGGCAGCCTGTGGGCGGGAGTCCTGAGGGCAGGTGTGTCCCCTCCGTGGGCCTCCCACGGACCCACAGACACTCGTCCTTGTGCCGCAGTCAGAAGGCGGCAGGCCGCGTCCTCACCACTGTACACACAGCACAGCTCTCTGCTGCTGTGTACGCAGCCTGGGTCCCACTCCTTGCCTTGGCCCAGTTTCCCCGCCTGTGATTGGATGGCTCTCCAGGTGCCCCTTGCCCTGCGGTGCTGTCGTTTGTGTGCCGGCTCTCATTGTCCAGCACCTGTTCCTCCGTGAGCGAGCCACTTACTCGCTCAGCCCTGGGGGCCAGGCACGGTCTCCTACAGATGAGGAACCCCAGGTGAGCTCACTGATAAGTTGCCTGTTTCCTTGGCTGCGAGCGTGGAGCTGGGGCAGGAACCTCAGTGCTTGCAGCACTCGCCGCTATGTAGGTCACCAGTGTCCACTGGTGACATTGAAACCAGTGTGGCAGTGAGCCCACTAACCTTGGAGGTGTGCGTGCAGAGACAGGGTGATTTGTCAGGCAACTTGTGGAGGCTCAGATAGAGGGTCGGTGAACACCCTGTGTCAGTAGCAGCATCGTGATAGTGTGGATCGTGCGGACATATTAATGGTGGTGACTTTTCCAATCCACAAGCGTGGAATGTCTTTCCATTGATTTGTATCTTTTTCAGTTTTTTTCATTGCTATCATAGTTTTCAGTATATAGGACCTTCCTTGGGTTAAATGTATTTCTGAGTATTTTATTCTTCTTTGATGTAATTGTAAACGGGATTCTTTTCTCTGTCTCTCTTTTTTTTTTTTTTTTGAGAGCACATGCACACACGAGCAGGGTGAGGGGGGAGAGGGAGAAGGAGAGAGAGAGAATCATAAACAGGCTCCACACCCAGCTCAGAGCCCAACACAGGACTCAATCCCATGACCCTGAGATCATAACCTGAGCTAAAATCAAGAGTCAGATGTTTAACTGAGCTGCCCAGGTGCCCTGTGATTGTTTTCTTAATGTCTCTTTCCAATAGTCTATTATTAGTGTACAGAAGCAACATATCTTTGTGTATTTTGTATCTGGTAATATTACTGAATTCATTTATGAGTTCTTGAAATTTGGGGGGTGCAGTCTTTAGGGTTTTCTGTATATAATACCGTGTTTCTGCAAATTGTGGTAATTTGGCTTCTTCCTTTCCAATTCCAATGGTTTGTATTTCTTTTTCTTTCTTAAGTACCCTGGCTAGGAGCTTGTGTTTTTATATTTAAATGAATTTCTTTTTTGTTGACAACACTTAATTGGGTCTTGCTTTTTTATCCATGTGACTCTTTTAATATGAACATTTAAAGCACTGATGTCTAATGTGGTTATCCATATGGCTGGATTTAGGTCTGCAGTATGGATATTGTTTTATTTTTCTTTATTGCTTTTTTACTTTTTATCCCTGTCTCCTTTTAGGGCAATAATTTTTGTGGTGTTAGCTTGTCTCTATGCTTATTTTATTATGTGGATCTCTTTTATTTACTTATTTGTTTTATTAGTTACCCTAGGGTTTACACTGGTCACAACTTATGTTCAAATAATATTATATCACCTCATATATCATATATGAATCTTACAACAGTCAACCTGCGTGTCCTTCTCCCCTATATTTGTGTGTTGTTATCAAACATTTTAATCCTACATATGTTGTAAACCGCAAAATACCTTGTTGGGTTTTGCTATAAGCAATCCATCTTCTTCCTTTAAGAAGATTTAAAAATGAGAAAATGCATTTTTTTAAAAATTCCATTTATTTATTCAGGAGAGACACAGAGAGGCAGCGACGTAGGCAGAGAGAGAAGCAGGCTCCATGCAGGGAGCCCAATGTGGGACTTGATCCTGGGACTGCAGGATCATGACCTGAGCTCAACCGCTGAGCCACCCAGGCATCCCATGGGAAAATGTCTTTCAAATTTACCCACATATTTGCCAGTCTAGATGCTCTCCATTTCTTTTCTGGAGGAACACAATTTCCTCCTGGTAGCATTCCCCTAGTTCTTGGAGCAATCCCTTTAATGTTTCTGGTAGTCAGGTCCACTGGTAGCTCAGCTTTTCTTTCATCATTCTTGAAAGATGTGTTCACTGAGTATGGAATTCTGGATTGATATATAGTTTTTCTCTCAGCACCTAAAAGTGATGTTACCTTGTGTCCTGGCCCTCATGGTTTCTGCATAAAAGGCCACTGTCCCTGTCCCCTTGGCTGTGTGCCTTTTCTTCTCTAGCTGTTTAGATTATGAGGTACCTTTGTGGGGTTTTCTTTATATTTCTTCTGTTTAGCATTTGCTGAGCTTCATGGATATTTGGATTTGCAATTTTCCTCAAATTTGGAAGTTTTCAAGCATAATTCTTCAAATATTTTTATGCTTTTCCTCTCCTCCTGGGACTCCAATTACAAGTCTGTTGGACCACCCAATATGGTCCCACAGCTCACTAAAGTTCGAGGAGGGCTTTTTTAGGATTCTTTTTCCCTGCATGCTTCATTTTGGTTATTCCCAATTGCTAGCTGTGAGGTCGCTGGTCTTTTCTTCTACAGAATCTCATTTGCGCTCAATCCCATCCAGTTTATTTTTCACTTCAATGTCACATTCTTCATCTCTGCAACTTCCGACTTCCATCTTTTTCATACTTTCCCTTTTCTTTCCTCACATTCTCCTTCATAGCCTTGAACACAGTTACAAGATCTTTAATGTAATTGTCTAGTATTTTCATCTATTAACACCATTATCTGTCACTTCTTGGTCTGTTTGTGTTGACTGCTATTTTTCCTGGTAGTGGGTCCTTCTTCTTGCTTCTCTGTATCTCCAGTCATTTGTGGATATTACAACTTTATGGTGCTATTCGGTGCTAGGTGGTGTTACACTATTTTACAGGAGATTGTGTTTTGTTCTGGCTGTAGTTACTTGCAGATGATTCCAATCCTTTTGAAATTTTTAAAAAAGATTTTATTTATTTATTCATGAGAGACACACACAGAGAGAGAGGCAGAGACATAAGCAGAGGGAGAAGCAGGCTCCATGCAGGGAGCCTGATGTGGGACTCAATCCTACAACTCCAGGATCATGCCCTGACCCAAAGGCAGGTGCTCAACCACTGAGCCACCCAGGCATCCCTCAATCCTTTTGAATTTTAAGATTTACTGCAGGGATTTCAGAGCAGTACTGGGTCTAGGGGTAACTTAGCCTGCCACTAGGCCCTCGTGAACACACTGCTCAGTGTCCCAGGCATGGCAAGGACTATGGGAACACAGACTACTCCCAGCCTTATCTAAACTCCAGGAATTGTTGCCTACTACTTTGCGGGTTTCTTTCCTTGGTCTCAGAGAGTTTCCTCCCATATATGCGCAGGTACTCTGACCAAGACTCATTGAACCCTTTTGCAGATGTCTACAACTCCGTCTACAACACCGTCCCCTTCTGCATTCTGTCCTGAAATTTCTGACCTTCTCGGCGTCCCCAGAACCCAATATCTGCATCCTGAGCTCAGCAAGACCTCTGAGTCCTGCTCTGCTGCTCACATGACACCCCCAGGCAGCAAGTCAGGGCACCTGTGGGGATCGCCTGCCTTTCTGCGTCTCAGTCCTGTGCTACCTGCTTTCCGATGCCTGGAAACTGTCATTTCAGACATTTTCCCAAGTGTTCTATTTTTGTATGGCCAGAGGGCAATTCCCATAGCATTTAATCCTTCATGGGCAGAAGTAGAAGTCATCCACTGAATTCTTAATTTCAGTTATTATGGTTTTCAATTCTAAAATTTCTGTTTGATTGTTTTTAATGGTTTCCAGTTCTCTGAGAAGAATTTTCCATGTTCTTGTTGGACTTATTGAAGACATGAAATATGAAACTTAAGTATTTTCAAGTTCATGTCTGATAATCCCAGTATCAAGGCATTCTGTGGATCTGTCTTCAGGCTTATTTTTTCTCTTAATTTTTGGTCAATTATTGTCTTTTTTTATGCTTTCCTAAATATGGTTGAGTGCCAGAACTTTGCGGTGTAAAAACTATGAAGACAGCTAGAGACTTTGGATTTTTTTCTCATACAGAGAAGATTTACTTCTGCTTCTAGCAGGCAGTTAGGAAGGGAAGGGTCACCTTATTCACACAAGACACTGAGTGGCCTTTTGTCCTCATGATTGATGGTCTGCTCTCCATCTGCCCTTTCTGTTAGGGTGTATCCCTCCGGGGACCCAGCCAAGAGCCTGGAGTGTTGGACGTCCACCCCTCCTCGGCCACCTGTGAATGACACTTGTCCCCAGGTCCATGCAGCTACCAACAGAGCACTCCACAGCCTCTGCAGAAGCAGCATTTTTAACTGGCAGGTACATTCCTTGAGGGGAAGATGTACCAGATGTCGAGCTCCCTACCCTGGGCTTTCCCTCCTTCTGCAATGCTGTTGACAGATGCTTGTTTGGACTGGGTCATCTCTTCTAGTCATTCTTGGTTCAAGGGTTAGTTCAAGACAACTGTTCACTGGTTCACTGTTATGGGAAATAAAACTCAGCCCTAATTTCTTCCTAGCAGTACTTCTGGAGCCTGAGAGGGCAGAGGCTGCACCCAGTGGTGAGACCCACATAACTGGAAACTTCCCTGCAGCTGAGGCTCACTCTGAGCTCCTGAACGCCAAGGCTGGAAATGTGAACAGACCTCTCCCCACCTCTTCCTGAAGCCAGGCAGCAGGATCCTTGAACCACAACAACTTTGCACAGAAGAGGTTGACTGCTATGACATATGCAGCCACCTTGTTAGGGTATAGTAGGTATGATCCTAAGCTTAGGGACACAGTTATCCTATTAATATCCAGGAAAAATCATTCAGGTGGCAGTTGCTGGCAAATCCAGGCTCTAGGAGTTGGATTTTCTGAGGGCATATCATGGAAATCGAGTCCAAATGTCTGTATTAAACTCCGGACCCATTTCGTCAGTCACCCCTGGAGACCTCCTCAGATGTCCACTAGCACCTTGGGCTTGAGGGCCCAGGCTAAACTTCCTGTCTTTCCCCTAGATCCCTGATTTTCAGAGAAACACTTCTGAAAGGACACAGATGATACTGTTTTCGTAGGGGCCACATCTGGGAAGTTGGAGAACAGAAGGCGGGGGCCGCTTTTGCTTTGTATCTTTTGCTCCTCTGTGGTCTTGAAAATAAATTTAAACTATGAATTGGGTTAAATAAAATAAAACAAACCTGTCTCCCCTATGCTCCCCATCATGGCCATCAAGGCGAGAAGCCCTGGAGCCTCCCTGACGTGCCATCCCAGCCATCCCAGCTCACCTGGGGCCTGACCCCCTGCAACCCCACCTGCAGCTGCCCTGGGGACCTCCCGCCTGCCCCCCTCCTGCCCACCCCCACCCCAGTCCAGCTCCACTCCTGCCCTCTTCCTAATTGTCCCGAGTGTGTGCCTGCTCGGTAGAGCGGTGACAGCGCCCCATCCCCATTCCCGGGTTAAAGTCCCAAGTCCAAACATAGAACAGAAACTCCTCCCAATCTGAACCCAGGCCAGCCGGCTGTCAGAGGGTCCATTGGCAGAGATGTCAGCTCTAGTTGTGATGAAAAACACAACCTGCCACTGCCAGGGAGCCTGCTACGGTGCCTTACGGAGGTCAGCCCATGAGCGCTGCTGGTGCGAGGGAGGGAACAGATCTGATGGGCAAGCAGACTACCAGTGTGCCAGCCCAGGTTCAAATCTTGTGGCCCCCAGACATCTCTTGTAGCTGCTTTGGGAAAGCCGGGTTCCCAGCAGGCCTCAGAGAGGGTTGCCCGTCCCAGGTTGTCTGGCTGTGTCCCTCTTCTCTGCAGCGGGGAGAGGTGGGAAACACTGACCTTGTGTGAGCTGAGGGAGGACACACACGGTGGCAGTATTCTAGCTCACTGCTTGCCTCCAACTCTCCTGATGCAGGTTCCACCGGATTCCTCACCCAAGAGCAAGGCTGCTGGTAGAGACATGACCAGCTGTCCTCCAAAACTGGACATGGCCACCCAGCCAGCCTCCCTGGCATTGCGTGTGACCCTCACCATAGCCACAGGATGGTGAGTAGACGTGCTGAATGTCACTCCTGGGAGAGGGTGCCCTCCTGTCTTTCCGTCACCTCTGTATTGGTTTTCTCAGGCTGCCATAACAAAGTACCGCAGCCCAGGAGGCTTTAACGCAGAGACTATTCTGTCCTGGGCCCCGGGGGCCAGCAGGCTGAGGTCTGGGTGTAGGCAGGCCATCTCCTCGAGGCCTCTCTCGTGGCAGGTGGACACTGCCCTCCCCGGGTCCTCACACAGTTGTCCCTCTGTCCCTTGCGTATCTGCGCCCTGACCTCTGCTCAGTCATACTGGCTGAGGGCGCACCCTAATGACCCCATGAGAACCAATCTTTACCATCTGTGATGACCCTCCCCCCAAAGAGTCACATTCTGAAGCACCAGAGGTCAGGGCTTTGACTCAAAAATGCTTTGTACTGAAAAAAATGAAAACACACATCAAAACACGTGAGGTGCACCTGACGTGGTGCAAACCATGTCTGGTGCTCTGTAAACTGGTGAGGTGTTTGCAGTGTAGAGGGAACCGTGTTGACATGTCCATGGCTGCCCAGCAAGTGCCAGAGGCCATGTGATCAGCCCCAGTAAATGCCGACCCAGAACCCCCACCTGCTCAGCCCACCGTCCTCCTTCAGGAGCTCTTGCATGGGTCCAGCTGCCAGGTCCAGTGGGAACACCACGGGATCACCACTCCTTCCTTCAGGGCTTTGATGGCAGCCTTCATTCCTGCCAATTTGCCATCCTGGGGGAGCAGAAGGTCCAGGTGCTGCCATCTAGCTTCTCCTACCATGATGGTTAATCCAGATCCTCCTGGACCACTGTGCATACCTGCTCCCAAAGGTCATGCTAAGTCCAACCCTACTTCTGCATTGAGAGGAACAGGGAGCGGTAGTGGTGTCTTGGAAAGAACGAGGATCCTCCCATGAGACATCAGCCCAGGTGAAGTTATCAAAGGGCTTTAAAGCAGAAGAAGCTGCCTCCCTGGGCAGCAGAAGACAAGCTGCTTCTGCTGGTGGGGGAGGCTCAGGGTGACTTGTGGGCTCAGGACTGCTGGTTTCATCTGGGTCCAACCACATTTCTCCCTTCCGAGTTTCTCCATCGTCAACTTTCAAGATCCCATTCCTTTCTGATCAATACCCTAACTTTTATGTGAGAAACTTGGCCAAAATTGAACTCAACTGTCAAAATTCAGCAACCCGCATAGATAAATGTGCTTGATTCCCATCAATATCAGTCTTGTGGCCACAAGAAATGATGCCTTTCGGGGGCTGTCATGGAACCTCCCTGGTTCCCAGACATGGCTTGAGCCAGGAATTAACACCTTCGAGCTTCTCATTGTTTCTGGGAAAGAGCTCAAGGGTGCTCATTCCTGCTGTGATGGCCAAGCACAGCTGCTGCTGCTCCAAGGCACATCCCGTTACCACCTCTTGCTTCCCCTTGGTGAGTACAGGTCTGCATCCTGGGACCAGTCCCAGAGTCAGTTCTCTACCCATTTGGATCCACGCAAGGGACAGAAACCACATAGTGATTCAGGGGGGAGGGCAGTTGAGTCTAAAGAAATATTAGGCTGTGATGAGGGCATAACAACGAGATGAATAGAACTCTCTAGAGGGAGCCTGATGGCTGGATAAACAAACCGTGGCTCATCACAGGGAAAACACATGTGCTACATGGTTCTTGCGTGCAGCACACCTGGGGAGAGCAGACTTGGGAGGGGTCCTGTTTCCCCAAGCCTGGGACTCTGACATCGGCAGCAGCAGGTGGCTGCAGCCCAAGATGGCACAGGATTCTGCTGGTGGCCTGGCTGGAGGTGGTCCGTGGTCTCTGGGTTCGCCTTTGCTTTGACCAGGCAGCACATGGTCTCAAGTGTGTGGGGGATCATGTTGGGAGAGGCACAGCCGCGTGGGTGCAGCAGAAGAGAGAAAACGTGGGATACAGCACGCGGCTGTCAGAGGGAGGGACCCCTTCTTCCTGCCCTGGCCTCTGGTGCTGCCCGCTGACATGCTGGGCCCCCTTACCCTGAAAAACAGAGACGTGGGTGGAGCCCAGGCTGTAGGAAGAGGTACTTCTGGGGACATGCTGGGGCTCAGGGGCAAGGAACACACCTGGCACATGCCCCGGCACAGAAGCCATGCCAGTGTTTATCAGCAGGTGAACGGGTACACAATCGTGGCATGTCTGTGCCTCGGGAAACACCACGAGCACCTGGCTGGCATGCGCCCAGCACACGCCCATCGCAGAGGCATTTACTGAGCAGGAGCAGCAAACACAAAAGGGCACCAGCATGTGGCTGTGTTTACGTACGGGAAAGACTCTAACAGGCAAAGCGTCCGCCGGGTGGGGCTCCGGGGAGGAGAGTTCACCCCCACGGGGCACACAGAACTTTCTGGGATGATGGGAAATGTTCTCTATTTTTATAGTCATGCTGCTTAAGTGGCTGTACACATTTTTCAAGACTCCTAGGCTTTACACTAAAACCAGTGCATGTTATTCATGTAAGTTATGCCAGAATAAAGCTATTTTTTGAAAAGTTAGTGGAAAACTATGGCCTCTCAGTAAAAGCAGGACTGTTGGGAATTCAGACCGCCCAGTGTTGGGGCAGGGACCCCACGCCGAGGGGCAGGCTGACAGGAGGAGAACACACAGGGGGCGGTGGGAGACACCGACATGTTAACTGTGGCGTCAGGACCAGTTGTTCACTTGAACACTGTGGAAGCTGTGCACATTTGTGTGGGCTTCCCTCCTGGGCTCCTGGGTGTGTAAACTGAGCTTTCCTGCCTCCTCCTCCCTTTGTGCATTCAGCAATTTGGGCAACGATTCATTTCTGTGACTTTCTGGGGTCACGACATTTCCAGGTAGGGACTGAGCCCGAACAGGAATGAGCCTCCGGACACTGTAATGGGGAGCAGGGGGACTTTGTGCGCCTCCTCCAGGGGATGGGAAGGGAGGACCCCCACAACGTGTGACTGCATCCCATTGGAAAAGTAGGAGGCTTCTGTTCCATGGTCATCATGACGTTAGGCGCAGGTGGTGGGAGGCAGCGATGCTGGGCGCCGCAGGGACAGACTCGTGGTTGTGCTGTTGTCACTGAGGCACCCCTGCCGTTTGCCCTTGGCTTTTGCTGCTGGAGCGGAGTGTCTGAAGCCTGCCTCTCCTAGGGGCTCCCAACAGCTGGCTTCTGGCCCCGATTTGAGAGGTGCTGGCAGGAGCCCCGAAGCAGGTGGAGGGAAGATGCTCCTCTGGCTGTGACCCCTGGAGGTTGCTCTGCAGGTGGGGGGGCATCGCTGTGCTCCGGGACCCTGGGCTCCTGCATCCCACCCCAACCCCGGGGGGAGCAGGTGGGAGCAGGTGGCCAGTCCCAAGCAGGAATAGTGGTATCCCCTGGGCTCCTGGTTATCACTCCTTCCTGTTTGTTCCTCTATCTCTTCAGTAAACAAAGCCCCACAACAAAGGCACTACTGTCTCAGGAGGGATGTTCTGGGTCAGACCCTTCAGAACCTTCATCCCAGGCCCTCCCTGAGCAGCTCTTCGCCTCCTGCTACTTTCCCTGAGGGCAGATCTCTAGCTGTCTGTTCCCTTCAGTGACTGGAGCTGGCCGGCCTGGCCTAGCTGAACAGAACTGTGGTTCCTTCCCAAGGGCCCTGGAGCCCTGAGCCCTCTGGTGGCCCTGAATGGGGGTGGGGGTGGGGCTTGTGCCTATAGGGCCCTCCCACCACTCCTGGCTCCCATGGCCCCACCCTCACTGTTAGGCCACCGCACAGAAGATGCACAGACGTTGGGAAAGTGTGGAAACTGAGGATTTAAATAGGAACTGGCGTCTCATGACCTATTATGTCCAGAATGTAATAGAAAACCACTAGTTCACCCAAGACCCAGGCAAATCTCAACTTCACTGAGAGAAGACAATGAACAGAAGCTAACACTTAGAGGACGCAGATGCTGGAATTATCTGGGAAGGATTTTATTTTTATTTCTTTTTTAAAGATTTTATTTATTTATTCACGAGAGACACAGAGGCAGAGACACAGGCAGAGAGACAAGCAGGCTCCCTGCGGGGATCCCCATGCGGGACTTGATCCCAGGATCCCAGGATCACGACCTGAGCCAAAGGCAGATGTTCAACCCTTGAGCCACCCAGGCGTCCCTCCGGCAAGGATTTTAAAGCAGCCATCACAGAAATGCTCCAGAGAGCAGCTCTGAGCACAGTTGCAACAAATGAAGAAAATAGAAAGTCTAAGGAGAGAAACAGAAGATGTAAAGGAGATTCAATGGAACATACAAATGAACGACTCAGTGGATGGACATGTGGCCCATGGACAGGAGGGGTTGGAGGCAGAAAGAGAAATGACCCAACCCCAACAAGAAGATAAGCTGGAGAAACACACACAAGGAGCCCCCAGATCCTGCGGGCAGAAATCACACATTGAGGCACCAGCATCTCACAAGGACGAAGAAGGTGAGCCAAAAGATTTTCAAGGAAATCACTGCAAAGATTCCCCAGATTTAGCAAAAGACATAAACTTGAAGATGCAAGGAGTTGAGGATAAACAGGATAACGCCAAGGAAGCCCACACCAAACATCACAGCCGAACCCGACACAGAAGCAGAACACTCAGGCAGTGGGACAGAGGACCCCTTATCTGCAGAGCAAACAAGCCACTGGGAATCGTGGCGGCTGGAAGATGCGACGTCCCTTGCTGCGAGCACAGACAGAGGACAACCATGGCCCTAGAACCCCATCAAGAGGAAAGAGGAGGGACGCCTGGGGGCTCAGTGGTTGAGTGTCTGCCTTTGACTCGGGGCGTGATCCCGGGATCCTGGGATTGTGTCCCACATTGGGCTTCCCGCAGGGAGCCAGCTTCTCCCTCTGCCTGTGACTCTGCCTCTCTCTGTGTCTCTCATGAATAAATAAATAAAATCTTTTTTTAAAAAAGATTACATAATAGTTTATACCTTTAAACCTGTGATTGGACTATTTTAAACATGGTTTAAAAAAATTTAAATGTAGCAGTGAAGATCTTCCCAAATCTTAACCAACACGGAACATTCTTTATCGGTTTCCCAAGCACCTGAACTAGACACCAAGTAGCTAGGGTGGCCAGTGGGTACTGCATGGCGTGGGCCTTGCCTGCCTTTGGCTGCTGCTCGTCCACTACCTGGGCTGTCCTGCGTTGCAGGGAGGCACCAGGCCTTATCCCCACTGGCCACTTCTTGATAATGACTGCAAATAAATTGACAAACAGTTTAAGCTCAAGGACAGACGTGGGGTCATGTCCTTTCTCTGGGGCTCTTGTCTCCTCCATCTGTAAAATAAGAAGGCTGGACTGGACTGGAGTTCACCCAAAACAGGATTGGGATTCCCGGGGAGCCTCGGAGGTGGGAGTGGACGGGCGCGCTAACAACCCACAGCGCGGCCCATGGAGGGACTTGCCGGCCAGGTGCAGCTTGACTCAGTTCATGAAGGAGGGGCTCCTCTACCTATTGTACCATTTCCACGTTCAGAAGGGGGAATCGTCCACGGAAGTGAGGTGGGGAAAGCAGAGCCAGGGTTCTCCGAGGCCGAGTGAAACCAGAACCACGCTTCTCTGCTTTTAAATGGAATTTATCAGTTTAATAATGTAACTGGGGATCATCCAGTTAACAGGGGCGACAAAGATAAAAAGAAGTGTATTCTCGCTTTACAGATGCCTTTCAAAATGTGACCCCTCCCTGGGATGATTGCACATCCTTCTGATAAAGTTGGAAGCCAGTGGAATGGTCAGTCGTCTGCTCGAGCATTTCGGGGAGTACTGGGCTTGAGAAAACCTGACTTGCAGTGTGTTCCTCAGTCATCTGCTGCCATGGGGTGGCACAGCTCTCGGTGACACCATCAGTCTGGACCCACGCCTCTGCCTTCACTCACAGTACCTTTTTCCTTTTAAAAATCTAGTCTTGATTGTTCTCTTTGGTAAGGACTGGACTACAAGCCTGAGGTTACTCCTTCGGCCTGGAGCTTTTCCCAGCCTTCCCTTAATCACTCACATCAATAAGAAAAACAATGAGCTGCCACTCGGACCTCCCACCCAAGAGCGTCCACTGCTCTTTCTAGTACCTTCTGTCTTCCAGTGTATTGGCTGGGTGGCTCCCTTTTGAATAGATATAACAGGCAGGTGGCAGGCTCCCCCTAACCATGAGTGTGCCAGCACCCACAGCCACTAGGAATTGCAAGCCAGCCTGCCAAGGTCAAGTCATCTCTGGAAAGAGCCATGCTGCTGAGGAAGAGAGCCTCACATAAGTCACCTGTTGTCTTCCCTCTCCGGGGCCAGGCTGGAGGATCATGCAAGGTCAAGGTGCTCTCGCTGGCTCACATGCTCTTGCACCAGCTGTGGTTGTGGGCCTTGTCCATTCTGGAAGATAAACACTCCCATGAACTGCCTCAGGTGTGTACATGCCTACACCATGGCCAGGCTTCCCCACCACGGGGATTTGTGCACTATCCAGAGACTGTCCGTGAGCATCGGGAAACCCCTTGGGCCTTGGGATCAGACTTTTGGGGGTTTAGAGCTTGATTCCTCCACTTAATTGGTAGCCTTTGTTCCTCTCTGAGCTGCTTCTCCTGGGTGAAATGCAGCAATCAGAGTATTCCTATCTTGTGGAGATTGGATAGGCTAAGTGTGCAGAGCACTTACTGCAGAAACAGGCACTCCACAAACGGGCTACTTTGGTTGTCGGAATGTGGCTAAGCTCCTCTTGAATACCTACACATTTATTTCCTCAAACCATCAATCACTTATCCCGTAAACATTCACTAAGTGCCTAAGAACACACCAGTTGTGGAGCTGCGAGGGGGGCTGAGACGCATGGGAGACAATGGGGGGACCCCACACGGAGCAGGGCTGGCTCTGTGCTAAGTGCGGGGTATTGAGCAGATCAGCCCCAGCATCTGAATTTCGGGTTCACACATTCATTTAGCTAAGAGACATCACGGCCCATGGCAGCTCTTGTAGCTTTCTGGGCACCAGAATTTCTTTAGGAGTCAGTGTGCTCAGGAGAGAGCACCCGGGAGGCCCACTTTCCACTCCATCCTGTCCTGTGCTGAGACCCTGCTTCCCGCCTGCAGCAAGGAGTACCTGCTTTCTCACCAGGAGCCTCGTGCCCTCTGCCTTGATGGTACTGAAAGCAATGGTGCCTGGCAAGATCATCCTGGCCTCTTCCTTAAGGGCTGTGTGGTTTTGGTCCTTATCCTGGGTCTTCCTGATTGGTCATGTTGATTTGTTCGTGTTGTCAGCCCTGTTACTCAGCCTGTACTCTGACATCATGTTATTACAGCACAAGTGACACACTTGCATAAAAATTTCAGGAAAAAGTGGATATTCCTGGAAATAAAATTACTCAGAGGCCACATGTTAAAGACATTCCACTGGGCTAATTTATTCTGTTTCCCACAGATCTGCAGCCATGAGTGACTCATCTTTAAAATAGCTCTAGAGGGATGCCTAGGTAGCTCAGTAGTTGAGCATCTGCCTTCAGCTCACGGCGTGATCCCAGGGTCCTGGGATGGAGTCCCGCATCGGGCTCCCTACAAGGAGCCTGCTTGTCCCTCTGCCTGTATCTCTGCCTCTCTCTGTCCCTCATTTATAAATAAGTAACCTCTAAAAATAAGTAAATAAATAAAATAGCTCTGGAGTTGTGCATCTAGAATAACTCAAGGGAAAAAAAAAAAAAAAACCCTTGTCATGATCCTCACTAAAGCATCAGTCTTATAGCACAATCATTCCAGAACAATGAAAACTGAAGACGTAAGATGAAACCATAAGAATTTTACAATCATGCTGTGTGAACATTTTTACACTTCTGAGGGTAGAAGAGATATTTCTAAGCATGACATCAACGGCAAAAAGCATTAATAAAGTGACTAACAAAATTAAAGCTTAAAACTTTTATATGACCAATGATTTCCCAAAATAGTGACATAAATTGGGAAAAACACTTGCAACCCACAAGGGGTACTTAATAAACAAAGGGCTTTCACAATTGCAAAGCCAGCAAGTCATTTAAGGATAATTTACAAAATAATGTCCAATAAGCATAAACATGTTTAACCTCATCAATCAAAGAAATACAAATGAGGGACACCTGGGTGGCTCAGCCGCTGAGCCTCTGCCTTTGGCTCAGATCATGATCCTAGGGTCCTGGGATTGAGTCCCGCATCAGGCTTCCTGCATGGAGCCTGCTTCTCCCTCTGCCTATGTCTCTGCCTCTCTCTGTGTGTCTCTCATGAATAAATACATAAAATCTTTAAAAAAAAATACAAATGAAAAAAAATACAAATGAAAACAATGAGATATAATTTTTTACCGTTACATTGGCAGAGCTTAAATTCATGGATGATGCCAGTGTTGGTGAGTATGTGCACCAATCCACACTCTCACGCATTCTTTGTAGAAGTATAATGGGATTAATTTTCTGGATGGCTGTTTTCTAAATGTAAAGAAGCTTTGCTTATTTTTTTTAAGATTTTATTTTTAAGTAATCTGCACACGCTATGCGGGGCTTAAATTTACAGCATGGAGGTCATGAGTCCGGTGCTCCAATGACTGGGCCAGCCAGGTGCCCCTAGCTGTAAAAATATTTTAAGTGTGTATTGTTTGGCCCGGCAGTTCCACTTCTAGGCATTACACTAAGGAAAGAACAGGAGCTCACAAAGTGAGTTGTAGCTTTGTTTATAATTAAGAAAAATTTTAAACCCTAATACCTCTAGAGGAAAGTTAAATTATGTCACATCCACACAATGGAATATTATGCTTCCACTGAAATGATAATGATTCTGTGCTCGATTTGGCAGCACATACCCCCAAAATGGCAGGACACAGAGATCAACATGGTTCCCTCTCAAGGGTGACATGCATATTCATGATGTGTGCCCTGGTTTTTTTTTTTTTTTTAGCTACACCTGTGGTAAACGTGGCATAATGGACAGGGCTGTTGAACCACTGTGTTGTACACCTGAAACTGATGTAACATTGTGAACCAACTCTATTTTTTTAAAAAAGTAAAAAAAATAGGGATCCCTGGGTGGCGCAGCAGTTTGGCGCCTGCCTTTGGCCCAGGGCGCGATCCTGGAGACCCCGGATCGAATCCCACGTCGGGCTCCCGGTGCATGGAGCCTGCTTCTCCCTCTGCCTGTGTCTCTGCCCCTCTCTCTCTCTCTCTCTCTCTCACTGTGTGCCTATCATAAATAAATAAAAAATTAAAAAAAAAAAAAAAAGTAAAAAAAATAAAGGTAGGCCTTGGATAGTAAAAATAATTTTTAAAATGATGAATCTTTGTCCTTTGTTGGCCTCAAGAAGCTGCTGTGTTGTGAGACAGTGTATGGAAGGACCACATTGTGAGAACTGAGGGCAGCTTCAGAGCTGCGAACAGCACACTGCTGACCTCAGCAAAGAAAGTGAATTTCCTGCAGCTGCACTGAGGCCAATGCAGCCAGTAACTCAGTGGAGGAGCTTGGAAGCAGGTTGTTCCTCATCAACTTTTTGATGAGGCTGCCACCCTGTCCAACGCCTCAGTTATAGCCTGGCTGCGAAAAACCGTGAGATCATAAATATGTGTTGTCTTTAGCTGCACAGTGTGTGCTGGTTTGTTGTTGTTTTTTTTTTTAAGACACATTTATTCAGTGTCATGATCAGACTATTACATTTAGCCATCAACAGCGTGGGTGCAAAAAAAAAAAATGACATTAAAACGCTTTGTTGGAATGCTTTACACTTTCCACAGAATAGAAACTAAAATAACCTGTTATACAATTAGTCACAAATACAGTCCTCAAGGTTTTTGCCCGTACATGAGTATTGTCTAAAATATGTCTTCTTTGTAGCAGCTAGGCCCTGCCACCACTGTGCTTGGCTGAGTTCACAAATCTATTGTAACCTGTACCTTCCCTGTCACTTCTCTGGCTCTCCTCTCCTGCTAAGCTTTGTTTCCTGGCAGAAATTAAAACCTTCTGCCACAGCACCGGTAGCTCAGCGGTTTAGCACTGCCTTCAGCCCAGGGCCTGATCCTGGAGACCTGGGATTGAGTCCCACGTCAGATTCCCTGCATGGAGCCTGCTTGTGTCTCTGCCTCTGTGTGTGTGTGTGTCTCATGAATAAATAAATAAAATCTTCTGCCACTGCCATAGCTGCTGCTGCTGCTGCTGGAACTGCCATAGCCACCTTGGTTTTGTGGTTTGGCAAAATATTGGCCTCCACCACCATAGGGGCCAGAGCTTCTGCCTCCAAAATTTCCTCCTTTCATGGCTCCAAAATTTGAGGATTGATTGTTGTAATTGCCAAAATTGTAGCTTCTGCCACCTCCAATGTTGCTTCCACTACCACTGCCATAGCCACCTCCACCTCCTCCATTGTTATAGCTGTCATAGCTGCCACTCCCGCCATAGCCACTGCCCTGGTTTCCATAACCCTGTCCACCACTCCCACAGCCTCTGCTTCCTCCAGAGTAACCAGGGCCACCTCCTCTATAACCACCATCATTACCAAATCCGTTACAGCCATCCCCACTGCCACTGTATCCACCACCATCTCAACTGCCACCGAAGCCACCTTTGACCACTGAGGTTCCCTCCACAATCAAAGTTTTCATTCCCACCATAACCACCTCCACAACCACCACCAGAACAACTTTGGCCTCTTTGGCTGGATGAAGCACTAGCCATCTCTTGCTTCAGTAGGGCTTTCCTTACTTCACAGTTGTGGCCATTCACAGTATGGTATTTTTGAATGACAATCTTGTCTACAGAGTCATGGTCATCAAATGTTACAAAAGCAAAACCTCTCTTATTGCCACTGCCTCAGTCAGTCATGATCTCAATCACATCAATTTTCCCATAGTGTTCAAAATAATCTCTTAGATGATGTTGTTCAGTGTCTTCTTTAATGCCACCAACAAAAATCTTTTTCAGTTAAGTGGGCACCAGGTCTTTGAGAATCTTCTCTTGAGACAGCCTTCTTCAGTTCCACAACTCTTTCATCCACCTTGTGTGGCCTTACATTCATGGCTGCATCCATGTCCTCCACGGTGGCATATGTGAGAAACTCAAAGCCTCTGGAGCACTTGGTGTTTGGATCTCTCATTACCACACAGTCTGTAAACATTCCCCATTTCATTCATTAAGTGGTCTGTGGATATGGTTAAACATGAATCCCGTCTTATATTAAGAAATGAAATAAATTGCAGTCAGAGCTTTTGCACTGCTGAGAATAGCTCATATTAAATGGAGAAAATTGCATTATGGCTATTTCAAACACAGTTGCAATGGTGATAAGGAAACAAAATCACAAGAGGGATGACTGCTATGCCAGACAACTCACTCTGCCTGAAAGAGGACATTGGAGCTAGGCTAACAGGCCACATGCTTCAATACAAGCCCACAGCCTGTTCAGGAGTGATTATCCATTTATCTTCACTGCACTGGATGGAAGCAGTGAGTAGACTATATACTTGAGAAGAACATAACTGGAAATGATGCCATCAAGTAAACCATTTTAATATTAAGCAAAGAATGTGGAAGGTTGAAAATATGACTTAAAGATTCTTACTTGTATCAGAATTTTCTCATTAATGCTGTAACTCATTGGCCAGGCTACTGAATTAGTCCAATCAATCATTAGTTTTTAGAGATTCGAGTGGAAAGAAAAAAATAGGTAGGAATTAAATGGAAATACTGAAAAAAGAAAAACCCTATCATCTTAATGTAATCTAACTTGCAACTTTTTTATGCCCTAAGAAAAAACATTACTTAGAAGGTGTCACCAGCAACATAGTATCACATATCAAAAATAAGTTAAAGATTTTCCTTGCAAGTGGCTCTAACTTAAGAGCAAAGCTGTGTTTTCCTTCCATACCACCCACAGTGTCCTCTTATCTCAACATTATTGCTCTTTATCGTGAGCCCATCATAGGGCTCCCTCGTTCCAAAGTTAATACCAATTTGTCTAGGCAGGGTTTCCCGTAGCAGGAATAATTAAGAAGTTTCCCTGATGCATCACATAAGTCATTTTTAGGTAAACAGAGCAGTCACTAGACAGATGAGAACTGACATTTTCATCCACATTAGTTTGAAAAGTATTCTGTATGTGATAGGCTTCTCACAATGATACTTGTACCCCAGGGTAGCAGCAAAAGGAGGGAAAGTACGTGTTAGCACGTCAGTTCTAATTGACTCTCAGCGTTATAAAATGCATCTACGCTAAAATCCACAACTTTATCCACTAGGAAGGAAGGATTCGGACTCATGGGAATACATTTAGTTGATAACTAAGCCTCTGATCAATTTTTCTTCCCTTATCAATATTTTGACTAGAAAGCGCTATACTTAGCTTGTCTTCTCCAGTTTGTTTTCAAGACCCCCATTCTGTTATCACTTCTTGGGGTCCTGACAACCCCCCTCCTTCTTCCTTGCCTCCCCTCCAGGGTGGATGTGTTTCCACACCATCCAGGGTTACCCTCTCCTGTGCTCTTTTC